AGTCTGTTTGTCCTTGACCCCGTACTGTCTGCAAAGCAGCAATAATTCAAAAAAGGAATATGCTGGGTGAAATGGATACTCAAGAATGCTCTGAGTTTTCTTATAGGAGCGGGAATTATAAAGTTCTTCCAAAGAGGGAAGAAGGCAACCAATGATTCACTGTGCTGAAGTGATGACCCTTTGGAGTGCCTTCCTATCTGCCACTGTGAAGCTACCAAACCATCCGCTGGTTAGGACACTCTCTACAGTACAACGATAGAAAGTTACCAGCAGTTTTTCATTCAGTTGGTGGTTCCTTAGGAGTCCCAGGTAGTACCGGTCTCTGCAGGGCCCTCTTAACCAACACTGCCGTATGGGTGCCCCAGTTCAGATTCTCCTTTACAGTGACACCTAGGAATTTAAAACTGGCCACATGCTCCACTTGGTCTCCATTTATGACCAAGGGCTGAATTTCTGGTCTGTCCTTCCTATAATTCACTATGAGCTTCTTGGTCTCACTGATGTTAATAACCAGATTATTGTCCCTGCACCACAAGAGCAGCTGATCCACCTCATCCTGATAGGCAGACTCATCCCCTTCAGAGATAAGCCCCACCACAGCTGTATCTTCTGCGAATTTTGTAGATTGAGTGGCTGGGGTTGGAAGATTTGTCCTTTTTAAACTTTGTACACATATGATTGCATCCCATCCACCATGATATTGCCATGGTGGACGGGATGCAATCATATGTGCACAAAGTGAAAAAAGGACAAATCTTCCAACCCCAGCCACTCAATCTACATTTCACTCCATCCTGGCAGTTTACAGGAACAGAAGTTGTGGAAGGAGCTAAGCTAGCTCCACAACACAGGGATGAGATGGAGAAGTGCTTTGTCAACCAACATCTTGCAAAATGCAAGCAATAACATAAGGGTACAACACTCCATACTCTCATGATGAAAACAAAGGAGAAGGAAAACTGTGTCCAGTTCTAGGGACTACAATTCAAAGATATTGACAAGCTAAAATGTGTCCACAGAAGGACAAATAAAATGATCAAAGGTTTGGAAATGCAAGTCCTATGGGGAATGACTGGATATGTTTTGATTGGAGAAAAATAGGTTGTCATGTTTAAATATCTGAAAGGATGTCACATTGAAGAGGGGGAAAACTTGTCTTATGCTGCTCTGATGAATATGATATGGAGCAATGGATTCAAACTGCAAGAAAAAAAATCTACTTAAACATTAGGAACAACTTCCTGATGTTCAACTGTGGAGTATTCTGCCTCAGTGTATGATGGAGTCTCCCCCTTCTGAGGTTTTTAAGTAGAGGCTAGGTGGTTCTTGTGGCCTCTTCCAACCCTATGATTCTATGACAACATGACATTTTTAGCATGGTTTTTGTGGATTTCCATTTACTTTTTCTAAGACACTGGAGAAAGGCAATTAAACGCTATTGAAAACCAGTTACATAGGTGCCATCTGATAATGGAAGCTAAGTAGGGTCATTCAGCCCTGGTCATTCAACCCCAGTATTTTAGAGTCCATTTCAGAGGCATTAACTCCCAAAGCTACCTCAAAGTGCTCCTTGCTTAAGAAAACTCTATGAAATTTATAGGATCATCATGGGTTTACAAACAACTTGAAGGTACATAGACATACATACGTAGTAGTTGCATCACAGTCATGTTGTCTGTACACAAATCTGGAAGCCAGTTTGGAAATATGTCTAGCCTCTGCATTTTACTTTGCCAAATAGGTATCCGCTTATTACATTTCCATTCACCAGAAGTGAAAATTAGTGGCTACTTTTCTCAGTCCTAGGGAATATTACTGTCATGTTTATCTGTCAAATTCTATCAGTATCTTTTTATTAAAAGATTACAGAAAGTGTATGGGGAATAAAAGCACAACCTGTACTACATAACAACACAAAGCACAATTCCTGCCAAATCCTCTCATCTTGTACAGATTCTACTGAATCTCTTAAAGGAAAAACATCCCCTAATGAAAAATGTAAAGGATAGTTCATTCAATACTCATTATAATTCTGTAAGATCGTGATGTTTTTCCTCTGAGTTTAATTAATGTGCATTTTAAACATGCAGCACTGTACCAATCACACCAGGGAATAAAGCCTGTATCATTTCATTTCTTCAGTTTGAAAACTGATTATATCCTACTACTTGTAGTCAATAGTTCAACAACACAGAATTCCATTTTTCTTATTCTGGTAGTTTCAAGTAATTTCTCTACCTTGTTCTCTCCTTTAAGCTACCTTCAATTCTGTTTGGAGAAAGGGTAGGTATAAATTAAATAGTATTTCCATTTCTCCCCACTATACAAAGTCATAACTCTTCACTCATACTTCTATACTTCCAAATCAAGAACCAAAGCCATACACAACCTCATCAGTTCAACCATCACCAGCCAACAATTTATCTAAAAATTATTTAAATACATAACCCTCCCCCCTTCAGAATATTCTAACAGGACAAGAGAGATGGGAAAAATTAACACAATTGTTCTCTTTCTTTAAAATCTACCCAACACACTGTTATACATTTTCCTAAATGCTCAGAAGTACAATTTGCAAGAAGTAAAATTTATTTATTTATTTATTTACGGCATTTATATGCCGCCCTTCTCACCCCGAAGGGGACTCAGAGCAGCTTACAAGATAGATAGATAGATAGATAGATAGATAGATAGATAGATAGATAGATAGATTCCGACCCGGGGAAGATTCCGACCCCCAACTATTCAACCTTTCTACAAAGAAACTGCTACTTGTGCATTCCTCTCCAACCTCCCCAATCTCCCTAAAAAGATTCTAACCACATTAGTGCAAACCCTGGGGGAATGAGAGTCTTCTCTACTACATATGAGAGAAATCTATTATATACACACCCATCCAACAGGGATTAGGACAACTATACAACATGCAGGACCCATACCACACATAGGGATTGTTATGTACATTACTGCAGCACTGAGGTTAAGATTCCCCACTCCACAAAAAATAAGTGACAGACAGAGAAAGAGCATGCACGTGGGTGTGGAAATAAAATCCACATAGGACACATAATGAAAGGACTATGGAACAGGGAAGGCATTATTTCCTTGGACAGAATGGTGAGTCAAAAAAATAAAGCTTGTTAGCTGGCTGGAGAAATAAAGGGGACACACACGCACACACAAAGCATCCATATTCACTGCGCTTTTTCTCATCATACAGACAAGGTCACACCTCCTATTCCCTGCGCAAAGAAACCACTCACACAGCCGTCTAGAGATCTTGCAGTCATTCCTCGACATTACTTAGTCAGCACATATAATGTGCATATACCCCCTCTTTCCACCATATATGTATACACACACACACACATGTACACACACACACACATATACACACACAGCCCTCTCTAAACATATATACAAACCTCTATATATACACATATACACATCTCTATTTATATACATTCGTACACATACCTTCTCTCTCCCCATATGTATATGTGTGTATACACCCATATATATATATATATATATATATATATATATATAACACATGTACACACCCCTCTATTTTATAGTCATACACATACCTCCCTCACACTTTCTATCTATACATACTATTTCCTTTATAATTACCTCTCTCAATTGATATATATTCTTACACATACCTCTTCTCTCTCTCTCTCTCTCTCTATATATATATATGTATAAACAGACACCTCTATATATACATACACAGCTTCTTCTTTCTCTATATAATCACACACACTATTCTCTCTATATATAAATTGACACATCCTCACCGACCCACTTTTTAAGCTTCACGTAAATCTATTTGTCAAAATATATGATCTGGTGCTATACACCTCTATAGGTCTCTCTATACAGACACACACATCTCTCTCTCTCTATATATATATATATATATATACACATATACACACACAGATATATAAACACACACCTCTCTATATATATATGTGTGTGTGTGTATATATACACACACACATCTCCATACATACACCTCTTTACATAAATACATTCATACACCTCTCTCTATATATATACACATTCACACACCTCTATATATATATACACTTACACCTCTCTCTCTATATATATATATATATACACATACATCTCTCTACATATTAATAGATCCATACACCTCTCTCTCTCTCTCTCTCTCTATATATATATATATACATACACCTCTTTCTCTATATTGATACATCCATACACCTCTCTCTCTATATATATACATGCATACACCTCTCTCTATATATGAATACAACCATATACCTCTCTCTCTATATGAATACAACCATATACCTCTCTCTATATATATACACATACACCTCTTTCTATACTGATACATCCATACACTTCTATCTCTCTCTCTCTATATATACGCATACACCTCTGTCTCTCTCTCTCTATATATATATATGCATACACCTCTCTTTATATAAGTACACTCCCCCCCCCTCTCTCTCTCTCTCTCTATATATATATACCTCTCCCTATAGATATAGAGTTTTAGAGAGATACACACTTCCCTCTCTCTACACACACACACACACACAAACATCACCTTTCTTCCACCGTGGAGCTCTGAAGAAGCCTCCCCCAAGCCCACAAACGTGCAGGCCTTTTTTCTTTGAAAGCCACCGGTCTAGAGAAGGCAACCGAGTTCTCGTGGCTTTCCAGAGGCACATTTCCGAAGCGACCCGTTTGGTCCAACAAGGGACTTGAGGGACTTGAGAAAGGCTGCCTCTCTCCCGCCTCCCTCCCTCCCTCGCCCGCCTGAGGCAAGACGCAATAATGAGAATGATGAGGAGGAGGATAACACCAATAATAATAATAATAAAGAGTGCGCCATGAAATAGCCGCGAGGAGGGGAGGGAGGCAAGCAAGCAAGGAAGCAAGCAAGCGGGGCTGTTTTCTATTCTGAGCGCCCTAGGCCGCCCTCCTCCTCCTCCTCCTCTCCCCTGACTCACGCTCAAAGTCCGAGTCCGAGTCTTCGGCTTCCCTKCGCTCTTCCTCGCCGTTGGACTCTGTCTGCATGGGCTCCCCGTCGAAGAGGACGCCTTTGCCCCGGGCGGAGGCCGCTGCCGCCGCCGCTTCCCTCAGCTGCTGGTCTCGGCTGTCCCTCAGGCGGCAGAAGTAGTCCGCGGCGAAGCCCAGCAGGTCCGGCGGCCGGTGCCTCAGCACCTCCACCGTGTAGCCCTGCAGCAGCTCCGTCAACCCCGGCGGGATTTCGATGCTCATCTTGGCGCCGTCGAAGGGAGGCTCCGCGCCCGCTGCTTCTCTCTGCCCTTCCCTCCTCAGACTGAGCCGTTACGGGAGCCGGCACGCGCGCGACGGAGAGAAAGGGACGGAGCGGGGGAGGGGCCAAGCGCGGGCGCGCAACAGCGAGCGAGGTCTGCGCATGCCCAGCAGGAAGCCGCGGCGCGCGCCCAGGCAGGGAGGTGTGTGAGATGGGCGGGGCTACAAGAGGAATAGGGGCGTGGCCTCCTATAGGGAGAAGCAAAAGGACAATAAGACATGAGGGTTACAGACGGGGAGTGTGCTTACGGTGCGCATGCGCAGGAGGAAGTAGGTGTTGCGCGTGGTGGGCGGGGCTAAGGAGGAGGAGTAGGCGTGGCCTAGAGGAGAAGCAAGGCAAGAGCTTTACAGACGGGGAGTGTGCTTGCGGTGCGCATGCGCAGGAGGAAGTCGGTGTYGCGCATGGTGGGCGGGGCTAGRGAGGMGGAGTGGGCGTGGCCTAGAAATGGAGAGGTTCCTCAAGCTGTAAAAGGAGGCGTGAGCGCTATAAGTGACGGGTGTGCTTGCGGTGCGCATGCGCAGGAAGAAGCCGAGGAGACGGTCCGGTAAGCCGTGTGGTGGGCGGGGCTAGAGAGGAGGAGGCGTGGCCCAGAAATGGAGAGGCGCGTCAAGCTACAAAAGGAGGCGTGAGCGCTATAGATGGAGAGTATGCTTCCAGTGCGCATGCGCAGGAGGTATCCGCGCAAAAGGTTCAGTAAGCTATGTAGCACCGGTGGCGCAGTGGGTTAAACACCTGTGCCTACAGGAATGAAGACCAACAGGTTGCAGGTTCGAATCCAGGGAGAGGCGGATGAGCTCCCTCTATCAGCTCCAGCTCCTCATGTGGGGACATGAGAGAAGCTTCTCACAAGGATGATAAAACATCAAATCATCCGGGCGTCCCCTGGGCAACATCCTTGCAGACGGCCAATTCTCTCACACCAGAAGCGACTTGCAGTTTCTCAAGTCGCTCCTGACAGGACCAAAAAAAAGCTGTGTAGTGGGCGGGGCAACGAAGGAATAGGAGGCGTGGCTTCGAAGGGGAGAAGCGAGCACGCTGCGAAAGGACTAAGGCGTGAACGGTATAGACAGCGAATGTGCTTGTGTTGCGCATGTGCAGTAGGAAGCCGCGAAGAAGATTCAGTGAGGCGTGTGGTGGGCGGGGCTAGGGAGGACTAAGAGGCGTGGCTTCGAAGGATTGTGCGTCACGGGACAAAAGGAGGCGTGAGCGCCACAGAGAGGCCGAAATGTTCTGCGCATGTGCAGAAGGAACCCGCGGAGAGGGGGCGGAGGATTAGAGGTGTGGGCGGGGCTATGCAGAAGTTGTGGGCGGGGCTTCGAGGGAGGTGTGAAATGGAGTGCAGGGGAAAGAATGCGTCACCAGACAAAAGGACTAGGAGGCCAAGTGCGCAGTGCGCATGCGTGGAAGGTTTGACAACTAACTCATGGCTCAATCAATGCTATTGGAATGGAGTGGTTTTACAAGGTGTTTAGCCTTGTCTCTCAAAGAGTGCTGGTACCTCACAAAACTGCAAATCCCGTGATTCCATAACCATACTGCTCGAAAAACTCACAGCAACCAATGATTCCAGCCATGAAAGCCTTTGGCAACACATTATTATTAGTATTTCTTTGATTCCTTGCTTGAGTTCAGGTTAACTATTCTTATAATGTAATGTAATATAATATAATATAATATATTTTATATACATATAATATTTATAATATAATGTAATGCAATATAAAACTAATACTAATAATATATTATAATTTTGTTTGTGTGTGTGTGTATATATATATATATATATTTGTCGTGTCAGGAGCGACTTGAGAAACTGCAAATCGCTTCTGGTGTGAGAGAATTGGCCGTCTGCAAAGACGTTGCCCAGGACACACCCGAATGTTTTGATGATTTTACCATCCTAGTGGGAGGCTTCTCTCATATCCCCGCATGAGGAGCTGGAGCTGATAGAGGGAGCTCATCCACGCTCTCCCAGGATTCGAACCTGCGACCTGTCGGTCTTCAGTCCTGCCGGCACAGGGGTTTAACCCACTGCGCCACCGGGGGCTCCAATTATATATTTATATTACATGTAATATTACTAATAATACTACAATATAATGGTATAGTTGTTGTTGTTGTTCATTTGTTCAGTCGTCTCCGACTCTTCGTGACCTCATGGACCAGCCCATGCCAGAGCTCCCTGTCGGCCGTCACCATAGTACAATATAGTATATGGTATAGTACAATATAGTAATATTTAATACTGATATTGTACTATGCTAATAATATAGTGTGTGTGTGTGTGTGTGTGTGTGTGTGTGTATATATATATATATATATATATCTTGTAAGTCACCCTAAGTTCCCTTCGGGGTGAGAAGGGTGGCATATAAATGTTGTAAAATTAATTAATTAACTGATAATCTACTGTATAGCATTTCTGAATATGTGATTAATCTTAAAAGAGCTTTTCCAAGAAACAGACCAAAGAGCAAACCCTTTGTCAAATTAATGGCATTTGCCTGTAATGTGCAAATATTGAAAAAGCAAGACATCAGGAAACTTTAGGAGCTTTTCCCTGCAAATTTGGACCTTTCGGAAGCTCCTAATTTTCCAGATTTATTTAACAGCTTTAAAATCTGAAATTTTATCTCACAAGAGGAGAATTGCCTATATTTTCAATGTAGCATTTGACGTGAGGATGACACATTGGCACGCTTCTGGTTTTTAATCATTAGGTCTCAGGAAATCCTTTGAAATTCATGGAGTCGCTTTAAGTCGACAAGTGACTTGAAAGCATAGTATTCATCAGAATTCATCCCAAATCACTCTTCTTTGTATCCTGTTTTTTCCCTTCCAGACTAGGACTCAACTATTATGTATTGATGGATGCCCGGTATTTATCTTGAACCAAGCAAACAGAGTGCGTGCAAAATATATATCTGTATACTTAAATCTATTTGAACATTTGTATTCTGCAGGTTTTTAAATTGTGTCTTTTTTTTAAAGGTTGTGTGTCATTTAGGATCTTTGTGCCTGAGATGAAAGCATTGTATAAATACATATAATTATAATCAGCTCTTAATAATAAAAACCCAATTCAACACTCAGAGGAAAGATTTTCGAACTATTTGTCATGACACATTCGTGTATCTGTTGCAGTGAGTAGATGTGTCACACAAACATTTGAGTTATGTGAAATAAGCCACAAATAAATATAAATGAAAGGTTTTCATGAGATATGTTGTATTCCCATAGATTTCGTTATTACAATTTAGTTATGTATGTATCTCTTATAAGGGGTTGGTTGAACTTCCTTTTTACTAGTCTCCCTGAATTACTGTGTTGCGAAATTGCATGTGCCTGAATGGTATGAGTAGATCAATAGGTACCACTCTGGTAGGAAGGTAACGGCACTCCATGCAGTCATGCCAGCCACATGATCTTGGAGGTGTTTATGGACAACACCGGCTCTTCAGCTTAGAAATTGAGATGAGCACCAACTCCTAGAGTCGGACATGACTGGACTTAATGTCAGGGGGAAACCATTACCTTTACCTTTACCTTAAAAGGTGTGCCACCAACATGAAACGTTTTTAAAGCTCAGGTTTAGAGGTTACTAATGGTATGCATATTGTTGGAAATAGCAACCTTCTACATGCCTCCTATAATAGTTATTTGTTATGTATATAATTCAGATTGCTTACTGTACTGTATAGGTGTGTTGGTATGCAGTTTTCCTTAACTCTTTGTTGTGGGAGGGGCTGCAGACCACATGATTAGATCTGGGATTGTTCAGACTCAGTGTCCTTTTTTAGAAGTCTGTATGCTTGCATCAGAAGGAACACAGTACAGTTTAGAAGTCAGTAGAAACAGAATGTTTTAGAGCAGGGGTCCTCAAACTAAGGCCACATTGCCTTAGAGGCATCTACAGACAACGCCAGCTCTTCGGCTTAGAAATTGAGATGAGGACCAACCCACAGAGTTGGACACAACTGGACTTAATGTCAGGGAAAAGCCTTGACCTTTACCTTTTATTTATTTTTGGTCTCTTGAGAGCATGTATTTTATGGGAGAGTAGATGTTTTTGGGCCACTGAAATAACACTTCTGAAACTCTACTCTAGGTATGTCAGTTTAACAGCTGAGAAACCTTATTGCCTTGCATTAATACTAGTGGGTATTTACCATTATGGAGAAGGTTGACTCAAACAGGTTTTTAACTCTTCTCAGGAAGATCATACTTTACAAAATGTTACAGTCTCTTAACAAGGTCATGCCTTTCCAAAGGTTTATAAAGCTATTGTCCTCCCAACCCTGCTATACGCCTGCGAGACGTGGACAGTCTACAGACGTCATATGCAACTCCTGGAAGGATTCCATCAGTGTTGCCTACGAAAAATCCTGCAAATCTCTTGGGAAGACAAGCGGACAAATGTCAGCGTGCTGGACGATGCAAAGACCACCAGCATTGAAGTGATGGTCCTCCGCCATCAACTTTGCTGGACTGGCCATGTTGTCCGGATGGCCGACCACTGTCTCCCAAAGCAGTTGCTCTATTCCGAACTCAAGAACAAAAAAACGGAATGTTGGAGGACAGGAAAAGAGATTTAAAGATGGGCTGAAAGCCAACCTTAAAAACTCTGGCATAGACACTGAGAACTGAGAAGTCCTGGCCTTTGAGCGCTCCAGTTGGAGGTCAGCTGTGACCAGCAGTGCTGCAGAATTTGAAAAGGCATGAATGGAGAGCAAAAGAGAGAAAGTTGCCAAGCGGAAGGCACGTCAAGCCAACCAGGACTGCCTTCCAACTGGAAACCGATGCCCTCACTGTGGGAGAAGATGCAGATCAAGAATAGGGCTCCACAGTCACCTACAGACCCACTGCCAGGATACTACACTTGGAGGACGATCATCCTCGGACTACGAGGGATTGTCTAAGTAAGTAAGTTTCCAAAGGTTATGATTATTCCAAATAGTGTGAATGCCAACTAACGCTTCTAAAAGGCTGTGGAGATTCCTGGTTTTCCCAAAAGGTTATGAATGCCATTTTCCAAAATATATAGATCAACCCCTAAAGTGATTATGTAGGTAAA